ACACATGATCATCTCACTAGATGCTAAAAAAGCCTTTGACAAAATCCAATCCAAAATCCTTCATGATAAAGGTCTTGGAGAAATCAGGGATAAGAGGAACATACCTCAGCATAATAAAAACAATATACAGCAAACCAACATCCAACGTCAAATCAAATGGAGAGAAACTCATTGCAGTTCCTCTAAAATCAGGAACAAGATGAGGCTGTCCACTCTCTCCATAACTCTTCAATATTGTACTTGAAGTTCTAGTCAGAGCAATAAGACAACAAAAGGAGATCAAGGGTATACAAATCAGAAAGGAAGAAGTCAAACTCTCACTATTTGCAGATGGTATGATAGTCTACATAAGTGACCCGAAAAACTCTACCAAGTGGCAGGATACAAGATTAACTCAAAAAAATCTGTAGCCCTACTATACATTGGTGGACACATTGTATGACACATTGGTGGAGAAAGAAATCAGAGAAACATCACCCTTTACAATTGCCACAAACAACATAAAATACCTTGGGGTAACACTATCCAAAAAAAAAGTGAAAGACTTATACAGTAAGAACTTTGAGTCTCTAAAGAAAGAAATTAAAGAAGATACCAGAAAATGGAAAGATCTCCCATGCTCTTGGATAGACAGGATCAACATAGTAAAAATGGCAATGTTACCAAAAGCAATCTACAGATTCAATGCAATCCCTATCAAAATCCCAACACAATTCTTCACTGACCTTGAAAGAACAATTCTCAACTTTATATGGAGAAACAAAAGACCCAGGATAGCCAAAACAACCCTGTACAATAGAGGACCTTCTGGAGGCATCACCATCCCTGACTTCAAGCTCTATTACAGAGATATAGTACTGAAAACACCTTGATATTGGCACAAAAATAGACAGGTAGACCAATGGAATCGAATTGAAAACCCTGATATTAACCCACACGCCTAAGAACAACTGATTTTTGACAAACAATCCAAATATATACACTGGAACAAAGAGAACATCTTCAACAAATGGTGCTGGCATAACTGGATGCAAACATGTAGAAGACTATACAGATAGACCCAAGCCTTTCGCTCTGCACAAAACTTA